AGATTTTACTAATGCAATGCAGTGCATAAACACAGCTGCAGGACTTGGAGAATTGAGTGGAGGCTAAAGTTTTCATCCCATTAAATCAATCCTGACTCGAACCATTGCTGGAGAATCATGATGTATTTAGGGCTACGTTACCCATGCTTCAGTTCACAAACAAAAGGTCTCTTTGCTCAGGAGCATTAATTTGGGGGCAAGAATCTGCGCTTGAGACTCTCTTTGAAAGTCATCCTCCCATTTTTTCAAACAAGGCTACATTTTGGTTCATTGCCTCCCCACTGAGAGTGGTTACAGGATTAAAAAATTATTGCCCTGTCCCCTAAGCAGAATCTAAGCGATAGAGTCAGTTGCTCCCTATTCTGTTTCAGCAAGGGAAGATGCCCATGAACAAATGTAACAATGATTAAAGGTGGCAACAATGTATTAAAAAGTATATTTTCTTTAGATTTTAGGGAAGAGATCTAATTAATGATACTAAGCACTTTTTAAAGTGTGAAATCTGTTTCCATAGGTAGTGTAGCATGAGCAAAGGCAGGCAGGCAACCAACATTTACTATGTAAATTATCTCCACGCAGTGCTAAATCAATGAGTTTTTCTCCATAGATGCTCATTCCAGGTTGCTCCCTATAATGACCTCAATTATACATGTCTTCATTGTGAAATTATGATTGCCTTTGGCGGGCTGCAAATGACAGCAGAGAAAAAGATTTCCATGATAAAACAGCACAACAAGTAATACCTGCTCGCATTAGTATGCACAGCTTGCAAAGGTGCAGTGCAACTCCAGCTTAGCACCTTAAGAAATAAAATTGGAGCGGAGGGGGGGCCGAGGAAAATGTTCAACAGTATCTTGACATTTTTAACAAGAAAAGGAATTAGTAAGGCTTCACGTTCTCAAATGTGTCTCCGTGGGACCTGGTATTGCAAGAAATTTAACATAAGAACGTCAGAATGGCTACACCTGGGTCACCAAAGGGCCACAGTGCTTCGCAGCCTCCCTCGGACTGAAAGTAATAGCAGAGAGAAAAGGTGTGAGAGGCAGGGCAGAGCGATCCTTCCCCTCAAAAACCTCTTGGCACTGACCGCTGGCACACGGGGAGTGATCCCTCACCCTCCTGAACGGCGGAGACGGGTTTGAAGACGGCGCTGCCCTAATTCCTGAAGCCACACAGTTTTCAGGCACTGAGCTGCTGCCATCGCCAAAGGAGAGTTGGCAACGTCCCGGCTGCCTTTTACTGACCTTGATCTTGTTCTACATTTGGTGCAGTACCTGACGAAAGATTAGTCCCGGACCTCTGACACGCAGAGACACAGTTACACCCGTTCCTTCTTAAAGGTGATTATTATGAAGGTTTTACCCTTGTCTTGAACTACTAAAAGCTGAGTCAAAAATGATAGCATCCCATTCTCTGATGATAGCCTCTCTCTCTGATGGCAGGGTAGTTGGCAGGAACCTTTTTTTATTTCCACCTGGAACGGACTGAGGAGTTGCTTCAACTGAAATCCCGGAGAAGAGTACCAGGTTTGACATGACTTGATAAATATGATCAGCTAGGACTGATACTGGTTGAATCCATTGAATATAGAAAGCTGTTTTGCATGCATCATCCTGCAGAATTTCCAAATGAACATAAAATTGCTCCGGTTTAGGACCAAATTCCATTCCAGCCTGTGTTCTGCAAGTGAGCGCACTTTGAATATTACCCATTTGTTCTGTTCAGTTTTATATGCGTGGTAAAAATCCTTTTATCTCCTAAAGGTTTTTTGAAATAAAATGAACAGTGTTCAATACTTAATCTAGAGGCTCTACACAAAATCATTATGGTGACTTGAATAATTTGTACACATAATCCAACCAGCATCAGTGTGTCTAAGCTCTATAACTTAGGTACGAGATTCTGAGGTTTTTAAAAGATTTTTAAAAAGCCCAGCTTTCGCATCCTCCTAGGGAATTTCTGTTTCCTCCCCAATACACCTGGTTGTGTAAGAAAATCTTTTCTATTGATAACAATAAAGCAATGACTAAAGCCACACAAAGTAATCCTGTTATTAGTAGAAAGGCTTTTAGATGTTAATAAGATGCCCTCAAACAAACTCCATAGAAATACTCAAAGGAGGAGTGTGTTTGTATTGTTAAAGTGGTCTGTACTAATTACACACTTTAACATAAAAAGTCACCTCTTGACCTGATAGCAGCTCGTCCAAGAATGGCAGCTATGCAAGGTGTCTGCTTAATTAAAAGTTAATGTATTTTTCATTACTGTGGTTCTAAAACGTAAAGCCAAAGCCTCTTTAGCTGTTATTTGGAAGATGGGCAGGGAGCCTTAAATTCTACTGCAACAAAACACTCAGAAAATGTTGCTGAAGAGGGAGCTGATGGAGCCCAGCATGAGCCAGGGAGCTCAAGGCAGTGTGAGAAACGGCAGAGGGAATTAAGGAAAACAGTAAGATGAAAAAAACAGTTCTCTTGTAAATGAATGACCCTCGATTTCATTTCTCCTCAAGAAAAGATGTCCTCATTAGCCCTACTCCATGCTACAGATTATTGTAATTATCAGTTCTTTATCCTGTCAAGTGCACTCCAGATATTTTATTCATAAACCAGAGCTTGTCCTTACGCCGCAGACAACCCCGTTATGCCCCCGGGGGCTGGTCGCCCACCACGGCGGGGGGAGCCTGGTGGGACGGGCAGCAGCTCTCACCTCGTCCCACGGGTCCCTGCGGGTGATGGGATTTAATGATGTATTATTACCTGTTCCTGGCTTTGCTGCTAACCTGCTCAGTGACCTCGGGTGGGTAGCGTTCTCCTTCCCTTCCCGATCCTCCTCTGTCTCCCCATTGGGATTTTAAGGTTTCGGGTGCAGAAACTGCTTGACGGTCTGACTGCGTCCGGCTGTCTTCGCCTGTAACGCCTGCGGGAGCCACCCCAACCCAAATAATAGCAGTAAGTTGGTCAAACATTCCTGGTTTTGATCAGCTATGTATCACAACTATAGTTACCATTTCTTTAAAACAGCTGGTACTCTTTCTAAAATAGCACTAGGAATATTAAGCGGGAGAATGGCTAACCACTGGCAGACACGACATGCAATGCTGTATTGATCTTCGCAGCCCTAAGTCAGCCTCAGATCTACAGTGGTGAATACAATTTTTGGCACATTCAATTAACTTCTCATTTACGTGGAAGAAGCGGGAAGAGAAAGGATGCAGAGCTGTTTGGGTGCTGCTGCACAAGCAAGTTTTGCACTACATGTTCACGATCAGTTGCTAGACCGGTGCACTGAAGTGAGTCCTTTCAGGCTTCCCAAGGCTACTGAAATAGACTGAATATTTTACTGAACAGATTTAACAGATTTACTACTCAAGAGATGTTAAAGCAATTTTTCAATTAGAGGGTATGTGAAGAGATGGAAAATTACGCTTGCCAAAGTAGATGCTTTTTTTTATTTTTATTCCATGCATTTCCATAGTGTAAGCCCCATAAATGAGTGCAAGATTTTCCCACCAAAGCTGTTAACTTTTAAGGCAAAATCACATCTTAAGCTGTGAACTGACATGATAAAAATGAGTGTTTGGAGTCGCTGGAAGTCAGTGCTTCTACAGAGGGCTGGAAGAAAGTGCACATAGCATTTAGATCTTACCAATGCAGATACACTGTAAGTGATAGGCAGGTCTTGTGCGGGTTGTAAGGACAGAGATGTGAAGCAAGCAAGTAGGATGAAGAGTAATTTTGCCAGCTGACGGGAGGGAGTAACCTGATCCCATACGTAATTTTATAGTGTCAGCGCTGCTTGAAGTGGTTTTTCCCAAAGTGCATGGCCTTGGGTGAGGCAGCGTCGGTCTCTTTGATCCCTGTTTTACCGCAGTTAATGCCAGTGGACGTAAGGAAGGAGGGGCCGTGAGGCCAGGAGAGGGTGGTTCATTCCCCAGTCCAGGTTTCTGAGTTGGCTGAAGCAATGTAATACCAAAGCGCTGTGAGCATTCCCCATTCATCTCAATGGGCCGTTACCTTGAAAGACCAGTTTTCAGCATTTATATGCAATATAGTTTCAAGGCTTTCTTATTGCAGAGCCTGTGAATGAGAGTAAGCAAAAAACATCATGTGAATGATAAAACTGTGAATGCAGCAGCTTTGACAATGTGGCCTGATTGCCCTTTTGCTGGCTCACTGCTGCTGAAATGCTTAATAACAACAAGCTGCACCCACCTGTCTGTGTGGCCACACATGGCAAAATACGCAGACACATCTTGTGAGCGTTGGCCAGAAGGAAATGATGTGACGTGGTGTGGTTTCAGAGGTGTTGGTGTGGTTTTCAGTAAGGCCTGCTGCCTCAGGTGTTTCTTTTGTGCAGTACATGTAAGTCAAAATAACTGAATTTTTAAAATTTAAATAAAGTATGAGAAAGCTTCTCACTCCTTGGTTAGAAGAACATCTGTATGTTAGATGCCATACATGGCTGCATTTGGTACAGGAGTTTTCGTGCTTGGTGACTTCCAATATTTGGGCAGTTTAAAACTGGGTTTATTTATATTTCAGTGACAACAGTCTTACGTTAATTCTTCCTCTTCAAGGAAAGAACCTGACTCATTCTTGTGCCTTTTCAAAGGACCTTGGCAGGAGTCCTCGAGAGAAACAAACGCAGATGCTCTTAAGCAGGGAGAGCTTTTGCTTGTCCTCCTGTTGCCAGCTGCTTTGTAGACTTAACTATTGCAGCCAGGCTTGCCAGAGGACCCATCTTAGTGCCCTCACGCCACAACCACCGCTAGGTGCCTCAGGAAAATGATGCAGCAAGTTTGATTGTGGCAGATTCAATTTCTGTGTCTCTTACTTGGCTTTAGTGTTTAGGGGGTTTTTGCAGCATAGATAATCCATCTCCTTGCTAAAATCCTTCAAAGTTATTCCTGGAATGAGGCAGAAGGCAGGCAGAGGAGGGAGAAGGGGAACAGCTTCCCTTTGTAGTATTTCATATTATTCCTGTGCTGTTGCCTTTTGCAGAGGTGGTTCGGCTGAGCCTGCCGGAGGACCAGAAGATCAGCGTTACCACCATCACAGTTGGCCTGAGCACCGTTCTGACGTGCAGCATCCGCGGGGCTCTGCGGCCTCCCATCATCTGGAAGCGCAACGGCGTCATCCTCAACTTCCTCGACTTGGAGGACATCAATGTAAGTCCTGAATTACTCTTGTCATTTTCTTTTTAGAGCATTGAATATGACTTCATTTAACAGATGATAGTTTTAAGGGAACAAGTTTTATCTAGTTATTATTATGGAAAACTGGAAGCTGGTGTGATATTTTGTTTTTATGTGAATATGTCTCAGGAATAAAAGTGAAACAACGTATATGCAGCTGAGAGTAGGGGTACTTGTAATATGTTATTATGAAATTAAAACTCGGTGCTGTAATAACCCAGCACTTAAATAGCACTGGTGCTTCATCCCTTGTTGCTCATTCAGTTTGGTGCAACCTGTGGTCCACGGACAGCAGCCCTGGAAACCCAGAGGAAGGCAGCTCTACAGACCATTAACTCCTCAGGGAACTCGTTCCCAGTACAAAGAAACAGGTTAATTGAGAGCATGAAACAATACATTTATGGTTGGCAATGAAATCTCTCCTCTATCTAAATCAAATAATACGTTTTTATCTCTGTTCCTCCTGTTTCACTTGCCTTTCAGCCAATTCTCGTGTCTCATTCCTTGGCTACTATTTCTGATGAGCAGTTTAAAATACGGGAGTATTCAGCAGGGTGTGGCAATACCCTCACAGGAAGGAAGATGAATCTCTTTTAATTCGCAGTGCTGGTCTGATGTGTGAGTCATAGTTTGTTGTAAAGACAATACCTGAATAATGGTGTAAACTACTCATTTATTTCATAACGTTTAATTACGGAGAGAGTGGAAAGTAGTGTACAAAAAATATGGTCTGTATTTCATTTCTCTTTGCATTAAAGTACACAGTAAATCAGGTTTTATTTTAATTACACTACAGCAAGAGTTGATTTATATTTTTGTTCAGCTCTTGTTAATTTGATAACCACTCAGTTCAGAGTTGTTACAGGCAATACTGTAGCTCCCTAAATTGTTGTGTATCCAGGATTGCTGAAATGTGAAAAATCTTTGTTTTACTCTTCTGCGTTAATACGTGAAAATTATAGCACACGGGGCAGAAATACACATTGCAACTCAGTACATTATTTGTTGACTCTACCTTAGCAGGAAAATTGTGTGCACTATGTGTAGGTGATTACTGTGTGCACAAACTCAGTAATTACAACCATCTAAACATTCTTTTCTTTTCATCAAAGCAAGTATTACCCTTTTAAAATGCATTTCTTGTCACCGTTTGGAGCATGACGTTGAAATGCAACATGAAACCAGCAAACATCCCGCTGCAGGATTGGCACGGGACTACGCAGGAACCGTAATGGGGACGCACAGGATGGCACAGCCAGCCTGAAGCCGGTGTACCTGACCAGATTTCTGATAGACATCCATCAGTACCAGGGTTAGAATAACGACCTTCGGGTCACTGACACTGAAAATACGTGGAAACCTGCCAAGCCGCGATGCGCGAAGTCAGGTGTTCCCTGCTGTAGTTTGAGCGCAGCGTAGTGAGCCGTGCAGGTGGTTGACCTGGCAGCTTACTGCCCGTACCGCCTGGTGTGAATATTCTTCAGAACAGATCTATTCCTTGACACAGATTAAGCTTAGTAAAGATTACACATGCTGCCAATGTGCTCAGTTTAATCTGTAGTGAGCAAATTCCACAGCTTTGTGTGATCGGAGTCTAGAAGGAGCCTTTTCTTTTGGCAGTTATATTCACTAGATAGATCTGAGACATTGTGGTTTTAGGGTCAGTTTTGTTGGGCTCAGGACTGAGCTGGGGTTAGAAGCAAGGGTCAGCTGTTCTGAAATCTTATTTCCACACACTCTGGAGGCTCAAGAGCGGTCTCAGAATTTTTTGGCCAAAAGTAAAGAAAATTCCAGGTATTTCTCTTACCTGTATGAAATTTTTGTTATGATCACATTATTCTTAAAAGATTAAAGTTCATGTGTGAACTGGACACAAAATGAAAGTCCAGGAATAGGAGTAGAAACACATCCTTGAAGTGTCGATAGCACGTGGCTCTGAGGCTTCATTTACAACTCCTACTGTTTTAAACAGAATTTTGAGGAGTACATTTTCATGCCAGTTCCTCCCTAATTTAGCACTGGCCCAGATGGATTTCTGGTTTACTTATAGTAAAGTAGTTCTCTTTCTCGTTGATTATTAAATGTTAAGAGTTACGTCCTTGCACATAAACTGAGTGGTTCCTGAATGATCCAGCACCCCCTAGCACAGTACCATGCAATACAGCAGAAAAAAATAATCACTTTTTGATCTGTTTGAACTAGTACATCACTGAGAAACTATATCAAACGAGCACTCTGAGATTCTTACATGGAGGAAAAACAGGATTTATGCCTCAATTTTCATGTTTGACCTGTCAGTTTATGACCTCTATCACCTTGTCATATAACACCTGCTACTAGTGCGCATCAACTCTTTTTTTAATCTAATAAACAACCTCCACACCTTTTTCGTCCTTAATTAAACAGTAAAGCTTTTTATGTTCCGTATATATCACTGCCATCTGTATTCTGGTCTGGTTGCTTGAGGTGACACAATTTGGGGTTTACCGTCTTTTATTTTCCCTCTTCCACTATGGGCAATCTGTGGGACTCTTGGGCTCAGGTGTGTCCCCTCTCTGGGTACTGAGGACGGGCACCTGCATGTCTGAAGCGCTTGTTCGTAGCAGGGATGAAGAGATGGTCCTTCAGCTGGTAAATCCAGTCTTTTTCTTTAGATTAATCACAAGTTTAAAAAGTCCTGTACTCAGGGGGCAGGAGCCACGTTCATCGGCAGCATGGACACACTTGGGTTTGGGGTTGATACTTGCGTGTAGCATGGAGCGGCATCAACATTCGCTTTGCGGCTTGTGGCGTGAAAATACGTGGAGCCGTGCATGCTCAACAGCGTGGGGTGGGGTGGGTGGCAGCAGACGGTTCAAAGCTTCAGCCTTTCGTGGGTACAGAAACTCACATTAAACAATAGTCTATTTAAAGGCATTGACAGCAGGAAAGTAAAGGCAGTGTGCTTCTTAATATACTTGAAGTCAGTTAATTAAATTACTTCAGTTTTCTTTTAGTATGCCTCAAGCAGAAACTCGATTGCATTTCTGCTTTTCACAATAAGGTTAGCAATTTGGCTAATTGGAAGTGCAACAGGAGATTAATTGTACCTTTTTAACTTCAAGAAAATCCTCCCTGCTCCTGGCACAATGGTAATCACATACAAACCTACAGGATATTCGCACACTCGGAAAAATCCTCGTATTATATTTCAATTAAACTCTTTCTCTTTTAAATGCTAATTCAAGAAATCAGATGAAAAAAGAAGCCCAACTCTGGAAAAAACCAGAATCCTTCCAACTAGGTGTGAGAGCAGCACAGGAGAGGCACCGCTGAGAAGTCCTTCGTGGCTTTATTCTCTCCAGATTCGTGACAAATGTGACAGGAGAAGGTTGACTGTGTTCCAGATTGATACTAGAAGTGACAAAGATGGTCAACAAAAACCTAGGTAATCCTAAATTTGCGCAGAACTGAAAGGTTGAAAATTACTGTAAAGCCTGGTTGTTCAAGCGCATTACTTAAATCATTTTTATGTGATAAGTTGATTGGCAACAAAATATTAATAATTTTTCATTGCTGTCTTAATCAGAAGCTTTCATAAGCAACATAGTAATAATTTGTCTTGTCCTGTCTGTGAAGAACTCTGTTAATGAGTTGTCACATAGCTATTGCAAAAGAACCATCTTAATGGTACATGTAATTAAACAATTTTTCATGCAAACATTTAAGATTGCTTTTAGCATAAAAATATTATTTGTCCATAAATTACCCATCCATATTATTTATCCATTAGAAGTCCCTTTGCAGCTGTACTTTATAAAAAGTCACATCAACTTTTCTCGTGCAGAAAATAACTATAATGTTGCTGAAACTGATAAGATTGCGATAGCTATAAATTGATTTCTGACTACAAATAGTGAAGTGGTTAAAATGTGTCATCTTTCAAAATAATATATTTTTGCCCCCTAGGAACAAGCAGTATGTTTTCCCAAATACATGATTATGAAAGCATTCCTCAGTTTGAAAATATAATAAACTCCTCATGGAGTCAAATGTATTTATACAGTATTTATAGGATATTGTTTCACATGATTTGATATTATCTCCAGAGAAACATATGTAAATTAATAAACAAAATTTATAAGCAAAAGTTATTCCTTCAAAAGCATGGTGGAAGCATACAAGAACAACACAGATTACCATAAGAAAACAAATGTTACCGAATACAGGTAGATGAGAATTTGATGAATTGCCAAGTGTAATGCAGGTAGCTATAACATAAATTCATGAGTGTCTTTCATTATTCATTTCATATTAATCTGTACACTTCAACTCAAATCTGCGTTAGATCATTAGTTCAAAAAATAAGCTTTTCATAACAGATCATTGAAATACAGGTTTCTTTGTTCCTGCTGATGCCAGGTAGGATGGCATGTCCTTGCTCTCCCAAAAAATCCCGTCCAGGGACAAGCGCAAGACTCCAGAGTCAAGTCCCACATGGTGGAAGGCACACCTGGGAATTAAAGGCAGGGGAGAGAGAGTGCTTTGCAGCTACTTTATGACTTGTCTTTCTCCTCGTTGGATGAAAAAACAATAATTGCCCCTAAAAAGCATGCTCCCAGGAGTTAACAGGATGCAGCATATCATTTGTTTACTATTGTCAATTGCATGTATCGATCAGCTTATCTTGCACAAAGTACACCGAGAAATGTCCAGTAAGATGTCCACGTGCCAAATTCTCGAAGCAGTCTTGAACGTTCCTGTCCCACCTCAGGCATTGTATTACAGTGTCAGGATGTCGCACAGGCTGAAAGACTGATGGGTTGAAGCTGGGATGAGACAAGTCCAGGTCGAAGCTGTTCAGCACCAGGACGAAGTTCCCGGTTTGGGAAACGGTGGAGCAGCAGCTCCTGGGAGTGCGGCAGCATGTCCTGCTAAGGCTGGCCCAGTTCCCATGCGTCTCCTCTGCCATTGCCTCCCATCAGGGGAGGGAA